CAGCTTCAGAAAGCCAGACTCACAAAGTTTATTCCTTTTTACTGCTCTGCTAAAATATTTACTCCTTTAATGACTCCGCTGGAGGTTTTATGGCAGCTATTAGCAGACTTGCTTAAAGGAGAACTATGGGGTCAGTGCTTTTCCCCATAGTTCTCCTTAGGGTAACGGGGGGGACACAAACTAGCGCCCTCCCCTCCCGTCACTCTGAGCTCAGTATATAGGGAGCTACAGCTCGCGGTATACAGAGACGCCGGAGTCGGATCCCAACATCGATGTCGAGATCCGCCCAGCTGCGTGAGTGACAGCTGGCTCTGCCTATCTAGAGGCAGAGCCAGCTGTACCCGCCCCTCCCCCATCCGTTCCGCCAGTCAGCGCTGGAGGATCGTAGCGGGGGGAGGGGGGAATCCATCCCCTCCCCTGTCACGGCAGAGAGCCGTGACAGGATCGAGAGGTGAACGAGCGCCGGTATGTGTTCCCTCACTTCCCGATCTACTGAGCCGACCTGTGACGGTCTCATTGTCACAGGTCGGCTAGAACTATGAGGTGAGTGAAAAGCCCCTCCCCCTCCCCCCTCATAGTTCTCATTTAAGAGAAATACTGCTACGTGCTTTAATGACACGAGTCTGTGTCCTGCCGAAGATGAGATGACTGGAATGTTGTAATTGGATTTATGTGTGTGTATCGCGCACCCCCAAAGGAGCCGCTGGGTGCCGGTTCATCTCTAGTCTGTCTCGGGGATGTTCTTCAGCTGCTCTCCCATTAGCACCAACCGCCCTTCTTCTGCTTCCCACAAACTGACGTCCACTCCAGTAGTACAATGCTAAGTAACGATTTATTGAACATCTTCACTGGGGAGAGAGAGGCTATAGGGGTTCTAGGTGTCCAGGGGGTAACCAGAGCTCCAGACTCACCAGACCTTGTAGGTATATCAGTGTAGATCCACCTGGGAGGCAGCGGACAGTAACTGATGTAACAGACGGGCAGGATGGATGCAGATCCTCAACCAAGAAAGACACCGACCATACCCCTGAAGTTCACTTAGTTCCAGGGTACTTCAAGAGCCTGCACTTGTCCCGGTTCTCTTCGTTTTTCAGCATCTCAGGCCTCCTCCATGTTGGAGGCCTCAGGGAAACCTCTTCCCTCACACCAGCCCATGCCCACCCCCAGGCCTCAGGCCTAACCCGGGGGGGGGCAGGCTGAACAGCACCCAGCCCTATTGCATGGCTGGTACCGGCTAGTATGAGCACATGGCAAATCCCACCAGTATATGTCCCCTATCCCAGCATGCAACACTGGCTGAGAGAAAAACTCAGTGATTGGCTGCTGTACTGTACATACATTACAGTGCCTCTCATTGGCCGTCCCACAATATGACAGAGTCACACTCCGCCCAAGGGGGGGGGGGGGGGGCCGGGGAAAGCCCACCCAA